CTCAATATTGTGAAAATGGCAATACTATCAAAGGCAATTTACACGTTCAATGCAATCCCAATACAAATAGCAATCCCATTCTTCAACAAGATGGAAAGGGAAATCTCTAGTTTCATTTGGAATGGAAAGAAGCCCCGGATAAGCAAAGCACTCCGTAAAAATAGAAAAAAGAAGGAGGCATCTTTCTCCTGATTTCAAATCCTACTATACTGCCATGGTGGTTAAGACAGCATGGTACTGGTACAATGACACACACACAGAGCAATGAAATAGAACTGAGAATCCAGAAATCAGCCCTTCTACCTATGGTCAACTGATTTTTGACAAGAAGATGAAATCAGTTAATTGGAGAAACAGCAGCCTTTTTAACAAATGGTGCTGGCAAAATTGGGAAACTATCTGCAGAAGACTCAAGCAAGAACCATACTTCACTCCATATATAAAAACCAACTCTAGGTGAATCATGGACCTAGGACTATAACCAAGGACTATAAACTTCATCAAAGCTTGGGAGAACTCTAGAAGTCCTAATCCACAACAAAAATAGTCTTCCAAGTATCCTGAAAAATCTACAACCAGGAGAAGATAAAATAGATGAATGGGACCTTCTAAGAATCAAATCCCTATGCATATCCAAAAACTTCTCCAATAGGGTAAACTGAGAAGCCACAGACTGGGAAAAAGTATTTTGCAATGACATGTCAGATAAGGGTCTTTTATAGATTTTATAATACACTTGACCACCACAAAAAAGATAAACAATCCAATTGAAAAATGGCACAGGATATGATCAGACACTTCACCAAAGAACATGTTCAAATGGGCAACAAAAACATGAAAAAATGTTCAAAATCTCTAGCTCTAAGAGAGATACAAATCAAAACAACTATGAGATATCATCTCACCCTATTAAGAACAGCAAAATTTAACAGAACCGCAAAAAACAAATGCTGGTAAGGTTGTGGAGAAACTGAAACCCTTATTCACTGTTGATGGAAGCGTAAAATGGTGCAATCACTGTGGAAGGCAGTATGGCACTTTCTCAAAAAGTTGGAAATAGAAATAACATTTAACCCAGCAATTCCACTACTGGGAATATACCCCCAAAAGACCATAAGTGCCACCCAAGCAGATATATGCACACCCATGTTTATTGAGGCTTTGTTTACAATAGCAAGGAGTTGGAAACAACCTAAGAGCACATCAACAAACAAATGGATAGAGAAGCTGTGGAATATTCACAGAATGGAATACTATGCTGCACTAGAAAACAAGGAACTCATGGAAAATTATTCAAAATGGGTGACCCGGGAGGACATTATGCTGAATTAAATATCTCAGTCACACAGGGACAAACACTGCATAGGGCCACTGTTGTAAAACAGGACTGACTGTAAACAGGGCTGAGGGGAGACTGAGAAAGATGGGACAAATAATGTATACTACATTGGAATAGATGAGGGAGAAAACTGTTTAAAAGGGATATGCGATTAGGTATTATTGTCATGACAGGAGTCCAGAATGAATACTGCATAGTGGAGTGGACCTAGGATGAGGGATTGTAAAACAATGAAAGATTTTTTTAATTTTTTTTTACTTCTAAAAGAGAAGAGTGTACTGGGAGGAGAGGGGTGGGCAGGGAGAAAAGTGTACAATGAATGAATGGAAATCCAAAGTCTCTGTAAATTTCCATTAAAATTCATAATAATAAAAAAATTAAAGGAAAAAAAAGGTGGGGTGGGAGGTAGGTAGCAGGGAGAGCAGGAAAAGAATGGCTAGATAATGAATACTGTTTTGGAATAGTTGAAGAGAAGGCCAATCTGAAATGAATGGACAATTAGATAGGTACAATGCAAATAACAATCTGGAACAGGATATACATAACTGATAGACTTGGGATGTGGAAGGAAGAAAAAGACTAAAGAAATGGTTACACAGCGTAGAGGGAAGAAGAAAGGAAGAGGAAGAGGAGGTAGAGACTAAAGAATGTGAAGATATTAAAGAATGTGCTAGTAGAAGAGAAAGGGAGTGGTACAGCAAGGATTTGGTAAGAAGTTGTACATAATAGCATTATACAATTACAATTAATGCTGCAAAACAAAAGCTGCCGAATGAACACCAATAATTATAAAAGTTCGTGTTAAAATACCTATATACATGTAAATAAAGTATCACTAATACTTTACTTACAAAACTATCCCAAGCAAGTATTGAGCCTTGAGATTAATTTCCAGTCCTGAAGAGTGTCTATTGTCTTAGGAGTTCCCTAGGCTTCTATTTTCCCAGTTAAGTCTGATCTTTTCAATGATTTTGAGTTCTTGTTTTGCTTATTCAAAGACTTCTTTAAAAAATTACCTTATTGTGATTTTAATGCAAAGTTTACAGAAAAGTTGGATTTTCACTCATTGCTATATACATAGGGTTTTTATGTATGTATTTGTCGTGGAAAGGGTTAAACCAGGTGGCTCCTTGGAGGCAAGGATTCTGGAGCTCCGTCTAACATACTTTGGACATGTTGTGAGGAGAGACCGGTCCTTGGAGAGGGACATCATGCTTGGGAGGGTGGAGGGACAGCGCAGGAGGGGAAGGCCCTCTATGAGGTGGACTGATTCAGTGACTGGGATAATTGGGATGGGAGTGTCAGAGACAGTGCGATTGGCACAGGACAGAGCAGAGTTTAGGGCTGTTGTAAATAGGGTCGGTATGAGTCGCAAGTGACTTGATGGCACATAACAACAACAACAACTTTGCTATATATTCCGCCCCCCTTTCCCCCCACCCCCGTCCACTTTGCAGTGCACCTCTTATTCTGGACTGTTGTCAGACATATAATGCTTAATCCCATATTTCTTTGTAGTATTCATTATCTAACCTCTCTTTTCCTAGTTTCCCCCCAAGCCCAACATCAGTCCTGTTTTATAACAGTGCTTTTATGCAGTGTTTGTCCTTTTAAGATAGAGCTATTTCACTCAGCATAATTTCCTCCAGGATCCCACAGGTTATATAATCTATGCCTTTTTATATTAATTTCAAGTTGAGTGTCTGATAGTTGTAGCCAGGTACCATCTGGTTCTTTCCAGAGCAGTGAAGTTCCCGTACTAGTAGAGGATGAGGTGCATTGGTCTATTAGTACTGTAGACTATTTGTTTTTCTGTGCCTTTTATTTTCTTCACTCTTCTTTGCTCCAATAGTCCGATCTTAGATGGACCCTCACAAGCTTTAACAATTCCAGTTGGTGCTCAGCAAGTGGGATATAAAACATTATCTTTGTGGACTATGTTATGTCAATTGACCTTAATGTCCCCTTCTACTATGATCCTGTGTCCTGAGGCTCAGTAACTTATATCCTCAAGGTGTTTCATTATGGCTAAGACGTTTCAATAATTTTTTCACCTTTATACAATTACAAAATACCTTATTAAAATAGCTTTGCAGTATTGTTTCTGAAGAAGCAAATGTGTTTTCTTCTTTTAAGATTATTTTAGCTGTTCCAGTCCCTTGAATTTCCATACAGTTCTTTTAAGATTATTTTAGCTGTTCCAGTCCCTTGAATTTCCATACAGATTTCAGAATCAGTTTCACAATTTCTGCAAAGAAGCCAACTGGAAATTTGGTGGTGTTAGACAGAAAGAGAGTTGAAAGAAAAAACTGGTCCCAAGAAACAAACAGGTGTTTATGAAGTTTACCTGAGAGGGAAGCCAAGCGACTGAATGTAGAAAAGATCGGAATGGCGTGCAGGCAGACAAGATAGTTTCACTTTATATGGGCTGTTAGTGAGATTTAGAGGGGATGGAAGTTTGCTCCGGAATTTTGTGGCAGGAGCTCTGTCTGGGGATTTTATTTGGTCCAGGGCTCCATTAGGCTCTAGTTGTCTAGGTGATCTTTCTAAGATATGGTCAGGCCTCCTCAAGTTATGGTCAGGGCTGGCAAGGTTGGACCTTGGGCTAAGTGCTTGGGGGAGGCAGGGAACCATGATATTCATCCTCGAGGTGGACATTAAATACATCAACTTATTTGGGGATTACACCTAAGAATATATGAACTGGTTCATATTTGTGACATGAAGTATCAATGTGGTTTGAAATGTTCACAGTACAGGATTAAAAATCTTTAAGGATTTTTAAATTATAGACATCATATGTAAAAAAACAGAGGGTTTCAGTTTATTTAAAGACTTTTAAAAATTATTATTTCCACCAGATGCTACAGTTTAATTATAAAAATCATCAAAATCTTCAGTAGATGTGTCATGGTTTCTAGGACGTAAAGCAGCTTCAATTTCTGAATTGCTGTCATCAGACTCACCCCAGAAGGCTAGAAGACAAAATCAAACAGTTATTTAGCATTTCTGACTACGACTAGTTCAGCTTAATCATTTATTAAAGCACACAGTAAGACTTGTAAATTGCAGTAGTGGTCTGCAAAAGGCCTATCAGAGACATAAATACTGTACAAATTCAACATACTCTCTTAGAAAGCACTTTTCAGAATACTTCCTTTCACTATCTGTTGTATACTTAACACTTTCTATATGTTGGGAGACTTAACACAGGGTCAATAGGAAGCAAGGCTCGTCAGGGTTTTTCACCAGCCCTGATACCAATTCACCTCAGCAGATCTCCATTTTTATCTTCCATTTTCTTTACAAGAGAAGAAAGGAGGAAGGAGAGAAATGGTAAAAGAATAATTAGTGATACCAACATTGAGAAAAGGAATTGGATATAGATTGTTTATTTGAGAGGTCATTCTAGAAATTATGAAGAGAATGGGTATGTGATTCAGGAAGGGAAGAATCCAATAAATGTGTGTTAAGGAGTCCTTTTGAAAATGGCCTCCTGAGGTTCAGTCCTGAGACTATGTAGGATACACCCTAAATAATCCTGGCAAAGAGTAAGGAAGTAGAAAGATAATGATATTCATCAATTTCTTGATAGTTGAAGGTTATTAGAGGTGGTGGTGCATCAACCTTGTGGCATGCCGGGCTTCCCTAATGCTGAATGTGCCACTGTGGCCAGAGAAAGTCTTTAGGCAGAGGAGTGTAATGACTTGCTACAGAAGGCCATGGCACGTATGGGAAGCACAATTGAGGCCTAATAGGATGTGCTAAGGACATCAACGGCACCTGCTACGTTCACAACTTCCCAACGCTGACTTACCAACACCCACATAGCTTAACTTACCAGTCCATGATGACTTCTTATGTATGACCTCATTTACTTCTTGACCCTCTCTAGCAAGGTAAGTATTAATATTTCACTTTTACTGAACAAGCTGAGGCTTAAGTGGGAGTAAAATAACTGTCCACAACTACACTACTGCATAGTCAAGCTGTTAAGTCCCCCTCAGATCATCTGACTAAAACTCAAGCTCTAATTCAATGGGTATGAGGTTGAAGGAGACATGAAGAAAGAGGGATATTTTCAACAGGAGATATATTACTGTTGAAAGAGGGATAGATTCCTTCTGCGAACTAGGCCTGGAGAGATGAGTAGGAGTTCACTGAGCCAAGAAGAAAGCAAAAGAACTTCTCATAAAAGGTGCAGTGGGGGCAGGGAGATGAAGAAGGGAAAAGGGTTGTGTCTAGAGAACGACTTGATGAAGAAATGAGCTGGACAGTAGGACTCTAAAGGGGCTCTATCCATCAGGAAGTGGAAAGTTATCAGACATCCTCAAGTAGGAAGGAAAAAGACTGAGTCAGGTTTTCAGAGCTGATGGCTCTCAGAGAGTAGAGGACTCTCTACTCTCAGAGAGTAGAGGACAGATGTAAATTGGGGAAAGGGTGGATGTGAAGATAAGTCTGCAAGAGCCCTTCCATGTCATGAATTAGTTTGGCCAACATCAGCACGTATAATATTGGTAGTGAGAATGGAAAATATATAAAAGCATTTTATAGGTAGAATAAACTGGCTCTGGTAACCAATTAGATGTGGATTCAGATTCTTCATTAACTTCACATCTGCTAATTAATTACTAAGCATTTGTGGTCTACTGCATACTCATGCACCAGAGTCACAGTTACTAGTTACTGTTGATGGTGTTATGAGAAATCAGAACTTGAGCCCTTCAGAAACTATGATCACCCTGAGGGTTGCCAGAGCTGCTCCACTGATCACCAATATCCTTCATATTCCTTACACATGGTACAGGTGGCAAATCCACACCTCTGATAACTTCTTGGTTAAAATACAAAATGAAAACCTGGTTTCCAGTTATCTTTTACCTTTAGATTTTAAGGTGGTAATTAGTTTCCTTTTGTTTTCATGTCTGTAAAATAAAGAAATAGTCTAAATTCCAGGAAAAAAAGAAAAATAACATTTTAACATTGAGCATATTAAAGAAGCACATAATTAACTTCAATGACGACAATTACTGAAAGGCCAATGATTTTGCATTTATTCTGGAAGTGTAAAAGGCAGATTTCAGACTCATGTTGGTGGGAGGATGTGCCTGCCCAACAGTATTTCTACTGGCTTGTCCGATTCTGTGGAAGCACAGCCAGAGCTGAGGACCCCACTCATCTGGGGCTGCTGCCAGAAAACACTCTTATGAGTGCTGAGGTAGAATACCTGATTCATCTAACAGTCTTCTGAAAACCACTAATGTGTAATGGTATACTAGTGTTAATGTATAGTGGTATAACTAGCGTTAGTACTTTTAGACAAAGAAAAGTATTTGAAAGGGAATTCAAGATGTCAAAAATTCAAGGATTAGAATGCTGATTAGTAGACAGACTTTCTGAGTATGCTCTTTCAAGGTTCGTGCAATGATAATGAGTTAAAAGTTCTCTCTGGAAACTTAATTGAGATTATACTTAAATTCTTTTTTTTATTTTTTAATTTTATACTGGTTTACTTACAAAGTTCGTAAACTTTGTTTTTCACACCAGATCTTTCCCCTTCCCTATCACCCTTCCCTCTACCTTCAAATTGTATGGAAGCTTCCCCTTCCCCTCGCCCCACCCCCATTTTCATCCTTCTGCTTCCCCTTCCCCTCCTTGGATCCTCGTACTCGTTCTAGAATATTGGTCTTACACAGTATTTGTCTTTATGACACTGAGTTAGTTCACTAAGCACAATGCTCTCCAGTCCCTCCCAAATTCTGCAGTAATTTAAAAATCATTGCACCTCATGCTACATAGTATTCCATTGCGTGAATGTACCATAATTTCTCAATCCATTCCATTGTTGTTGGACATCTGGGCTATATCCATGCTCTGGCTATGGTTAATAAAGCTGTTATGAATATTGGGGTACAAGTCTATGTGCCTCAGTTCTCATTTTCTTGGGGTATACTCGAAGAGGTGGAATAGTTGGGTCATATGAATTTCTTTGTTCAGCTTTTTGAGAAAATGCCAAACTGCCTTCTAGAGTGGTTGTACCATTTTACAATCCCACCAATGAACTCCTATTTTGCTACTTTCTTTCCAACATTTATTACTTGCTGTCCTGCTAAACTTTGTAGTATGGCGTCTCACTGTGGTTTTGATTTGCATCTCTCTTACTGCAAGTGATTTGGAGAATTTCTTCAAGTGTCTGTCACTCATGTGAATCTCCTCCTCTGTGAGAAGTCTTTCCATGTCTCTTGACCGTTTTGTAATTGGATTATCAGTCTTTTACTTCTGGAGGCCCAGGACTATTCTGTAAACTTTTGTTATAAGACCCCTGGCTCACACTGAATGATCAAAGAAGGTATTTTAAAATAAACTGTTACATTTATAAACTTTTATATTTATAAAACTCATGGTTCCAGCCAGTAATAGCTCACAGATGTTATGCTTTCAGATGAGATATAAGAGTATGCTGTCTCCACCACTCTTGCTATGGGTGAGGACCATGGTCCTGTGTCACAGGAAACTGTGAATTCATCATGTAAACTGAAAGGCTGGATTATATGAATAATGTGGCATCAGGAATGGAGAAAGGCTCGCCAACAACCTGAGATATGTAGGTGACACAGCCTTGCTCACAGAAAATGAATACTTGAAGCACTTACTGAAGAAGTTCAAAGATACACTTTGCAAATTTTTTTATTTTATACCATTAAGATTAATTTTAAAAATTGTTTTTTTAATTTACATTGGTTTGCTTACAAAGATGGTATACACTGTGGTTCATACTATCCTTCATTCAAATTGTGTTTCATAAAATCATTCCCATTCATTATGTTTTATAAAATTAATCATCATTGAACTCTGCTCACAATTATTACCCTGTCTTTCCAGATCCCCACCGGATCTTTTTCACTTCTTTTACTCACTCGTCCCTCCACCCACCAAATTAAGAGACCCTATGATTTTCCCCTGCCTATCTGTCCTCTTTTGCTCCCACCCTTAACTCACACACGTTTTAATAGTTATCCTTCTATTTCTACAGTAATGGTCTTATGCAGTATTTGTTCTTATGAGACTGACTTAGTTCACTCAGAATAATGCTCTCTGGTCCCTATCAAGTTATGTAGTCATTTTTGAAATTTTTGCTCCTGAGTGCTACGTAGCATTCCCTTTGTGAATGTAATACAATTTTTCAATCCATTCTATTGTGGTATAAATAAGCAAGGCACTCCTGAAAAACAAGAATGAAGTAGGAGGCATAGCACTCCCTTATCTCAAAACCTACTACATAGTGGTAGTAACCCAAAAAGCATGGTACTGGTACAATTACATGCACTTAGCTCAATGGGACAGAATCGAGAACCTAGAAATTAATCCAGTTATCTTTGGGCGCAGGAGTGGAATCCACTTCCTAAACAACATGCCTCTGGAAACTCTATGAACTTTGAGAAACAATGATAGTTATAGAAAGGCTCCAGATTTTTTGTTCATGGTGATTCTATGAGTCATGCTCAACTTGATGGAAATAAACAATAAAAACAACAACAACATCTATGGTCAACTGATATAAGATAAGGAAACAAAACCCATCAAATGGGGAAATGACAACCTCTTCAGCAAATGATTCTGGAAAAACTAGACTACTACATGCAGCGAGCTGAATCAAGATCCACAGCTCTCACCAGAAACAAAACTCAAGATGGATCAGAAACCTAGAGGTAAAGCCTCAAACCATAAAATCATAAAAGACAAGGGAGGATTAAACAAAAGGCCTAGCCCATGGTATAAAAAGGATGACAAAGACAAGACAGAAATACACAACCAGGAGAGGATAAAATTGATGAATGAGATCTTCTAAGGATTAAAACCCTGTGTGCATCCAAAACTTTTTTCAAAAGGGTGAAAAGAAAACCTACTGACTGGTAACACACATTTGGCAATACCATCTCAGACAAGAATACTATTGATCCTCTAGTTCCCAAACCCGTCTAAACCCAGCCTGCACTTCTGCTAGTTCTCTGTTGAAGTGCTGTTCCAGTCATTGTTGGATAATATTCAGCAGCATCTTGCTTGAATGTGATATTAATGATATTGTTCGATAATTTCCACACTCTGTGGGATCATCTTTCTTTGGAATGGGAACAAATACAGATCTCTTCCAATCAGTAGGAATACTGTAGCTAATTTTAGATGGATCTTGGCTGAAAGCAGGGAGTACCAAAAGGATGTCTATCTTTGTTTCAGTGATTATGCAAAGGCATTTGACTGTGTGGATCATAACAAACTGTGGCTAACTCTGAAAAGGATAGGAATCCCAGAACAATTGATTGTGTTAATGTGAAACCTGTACTTGGACTAGGAGGCAGTCATCAGAACAAAGCAAGGAAACACTGCATGGTTCAAAATTGGAAAGGGTGTATGCCAGGGATGTTTCCTATCTCCATACCTTTTCAATCTTTATGCAGAACAGATTATCCAGGAAGCTGGGTTCTATGAGGAGAAATGTGGCATTAGGATTGGAGGAAGAATCATCAACAATCTGCATTCTGCAGATGACACAACCTTGCCTGCTGAAACTGAGGAGGACCTGAAGCGCTTGCTCTTGTAGGTCAGGGACTTCAGTCTTCAATATGGATTGAGGCTCAATATCAAGAAAACAAAGATTTTCACCACTGGGCTGATTGGCAGAATCAGGATGGATGGTGAAGAGATTGAGATTTTTCACAGTTTTAGTTTGTTTGGCTCCAGTCAACACTCTTGGTAGCCAGGAAATTAAAATACATATTGTGATGGGAAAGTCTACAGTTAGAGACCTCTCTAAAGTACTGAAGAGCAACGATGTCAGTCTGGAAGACTAAGGTTTGCCTGATACAGGCCATGGTCTTTGCAATCACTTGTTACGTATCAGAGAGCTTGACAATGACTATGGATGAGAGATGGAAAATTGATGCCTTTGAGATGTGGTGTTGGAGAAGAGTATGGAATATACCATGGACTGCTAAGAAAACAAACAGGTTTGTCCTGGAGAGGGTGAAGCCAGACTGCTCCTTAGAGGCAAGGATTCTGAAGCTTTTTCTGACATACTTTGGACATGTTGCAAGGAGGGACCAGTCCTTGGAGAGGGACGTCATACTTGGGAGGGAGGAGGTATAGCACAGGAGAGGAAGATCCTTGATGAGATGGATGGATTCAGTGACTGGTATAATGGGGGTAGCTGTGTCAGAGACAGTGAGATTGGCACAGTATCCTAAACAGGCTTTAGGGCTGCTGTACATAGGGTTGCTGTGAGTTGCAGGCAATTTGACAGCACATAACAACAACAACAACAACAACAACAACTTGGTCCTCTAGAATAAAAAGACTGATAATCCAATTATAAAATGGACAAAAAACATGGAAAGACTGCACTGAGAAAGACATTCTGATGGTTAATAGACACATGAAGAAAACTCTAAATCACTGGCAATAAGAGAGATGCAAATAAAAAACTACAATGAGATACCATCTCACCCCCATAACAGTGGCAAAGTTTAACAGAACAGCAAGCAACAAATGTTTGAGAGGATGCGGAGATGTGGGAACTCTTATACTCTGTTGGTAGGACTATAAATTGGTAAAACCACTCTGGAAGGAAGTTTGGCATTTCCTCAAAAAGCTGAACATAGAAATTCCATATGACCCAGTTATTCCACTACTAGGAATATTTTTGTTATTGTTATGTGCCATCGAGTCACTTGCAACTCACAGCAACCCTATATACAACAGCCCTAAACCCTGCTCTATCCTGTGTCAACCTTATTGTCTACGAAACACTTACCTACACCACCGAAGTGACAGAATCTATCTCATTGAGGGTCTTTCTCTTTTGCGTTGTCCCTCCACCCTCCCAAGCATGATGTCTTTCTCCAAGGACTGGTGCTTTCTTGCAACATGC